GGTGAATAAAAATGGGAAGCAGGGCTAACATTACAGAGTCCCTTTACAATAATTCACATACAGAGCTGTCAGATTCGTAGATTGCCAGGAAATTTCAGGCTTTTATTATTGTTCCTTATATATTTACGTCAAAGTTCAGGCTATTATGATGGCAGATATGCAACTTACTTTCTCAGGATATATGCCTTGTAGGACTTTTTGCTTACTGTCAGTGACATTGTTATAGCTAGTCAGATCTGGTGCAAGCATAGTTAAACCTCAAACAATCATATTCACCTGACTTTTCCTCTGCACAAATACTTAAGTTTTATGTTTGAACCAAAGATAACAAAAAAAAGAGACAATAATTTCATAGTGTACCTCTAATAACACAGTATATTGAAAAAAGACGCATGAAACATGGATATTATTAAAACAATTTATTCATAAAACCATTATTTACTGTTGAGTTGCTCATGTTGACTTTGACCAGGTTCCTAGAGAAAAGAAAGAAGGTCCGTTTTAATAACGGATTACTATACATTTATGATGAGCGAATACTGCTGATCTACTGTTGATGAATTACTGCTAATATTCATTTTGATGATAGTTTCTTTGCAGTGTTATTTCTTTAGAAAATAACTGAGAGTGTACATATGTTGATTGCTTTTTCTGTTTGTGAACAGCTGCAAACAAAATCAAAACAAAAAGTGCCCAATGTATTTTGGGCTAATGTGATTTTACCGTTTGAATTTTATTCCTGGTTATTCTAAGTGATATCCTAACCTTGTAGCCTCTATCGACCCTCGTCAGAAGCATACAGTGGATTTAAAAAGACTAAAAATAGTAACAAATTGAGTATTTTGATTTTACAATAATTGGCCGATTAATCCAAAATTTTCCCTTATTGGATTTTCAGTCTTCAGTGTCACATAATCCTTCAGAAATCATTCTAACATGCAGATTTGCTGCTTAAGAAACATTTATCAATGTTGAAAGCATTTTTGCTGCTTAATATTTTTATGAAAACAGTGAAAAATTTTTGTTTTACCATTGCTTCCTCACTAGGTACCACCCTTCATAAAACATCAGAAAACTAAAAATGAAATGTTCAAAGCAGAAATTGAACAATGTCATGATCAATTTGCTGTCACTCATGCCCATGCCACAGTACAATTCAGTGTTAAAGAACTCCAGCGGAGAGTGATATTGGCATCACTGTGACAGGGAACATTTGCATGAATTTTCATTGTGACTTGTAAAGTACAAGGACACTAGCTCAAAATAAACTAGCTTTAGTCAACATGTCTAACCTCAATGGTGAAGGTCTTGTCGTTGAAGCGTCCCTTGACAGAGATAAGTTCATATTTCAGACTTCTCCGATTCTCGTTGAGTTCCATGACGGGATTCTTGCCATGTTTGGTGAGGACGGGGCCACCCTGCGAGATGAAGTGGAACCAATCATGCCAAACCAATTTTCTACAGTCTACAAAGGCATCAAACCCCAAAGCTATTCAAGGAGGCTCAATCTTTGGATGCTAACCTCAGTGCCATCATCAGACCCTGTAGGAGTGGTTTCATCTGAACCGGTGACCACAGTCGCAGCAACAGACTGGCTCTTATTTTCATCAGCAGGCTTGGCCTCTGATGGCAAGGGCACACCTAATGCTTGCAGAACCTGTGTGTTGTGTACATGGCACAGACAACCACTGAAATTCACACAATGTTTATTTCACACTCATTAAAGACCACAACCCTGGAAAATGTTATCTGTGCAACAGCTACATGTGGCATCTAGAACAAAGTTTCTTTCAAACTTGTGACTTCTTTCAGCAGACTCACTTTCTGGGCAACATGAAGCTTGGCGCTGCGTTTGGAGGGGCCTGTAGCCTCATAAGTTACTCCATCCACCTCTACAGACATTGTGAACTGAGGTTCATGTTCAGGCCCAGACTGTGATGCCAATCTGTAGAGGGTTCCAGGCCGCAGCTGGTTCAGCTTCATCAGGGCATTTGCTGGTTCGCGCCTTTCTGCCAGGAGAACACAGGTATTATGGAAAAACAATATGGCTGACATTGTATACAATACGTATTTAACTAAAAGATGAGGCATGCAGTATTTACTATACATTAAATTAGGGATGCTCAATATTATCGGAATCGAAAGCTGCGGCAGCCTCCCCTAGGTCCTAATGTCCATCCGGTAAGGCTTTTATTTATTTAGGGGGCGCTGTAGGTCTACTTGTAATAAAATGAAAAATAAAATACACAAATAACATTAAAATGTTAAGGTTGCAACTGCATTTGTCTGAAAGAAAAAAAAAAATTGTACTGACTGATTTTATTATAGTATTATCAAAGCATTCAATGTACTCTCATTAAAAAAAGTTTAACTTTAATAATGTTTAATTAGTTCTAACAAGCAAGTTTTTACACAAAACTTACTAAAAATTAAAAATAATTTGTTTATAATCTCTGCACAGGAGAGACTT